GTGCGCAGAGAGCTTCATGGAATGGGTTTCCATGGTCGAGCAGCTGCATCCAAGCCATACATCACCAAGTGCAATGCAAAGCGTCGGATGCGGTGGTGTAAAGCACGCCGCCACTGGACTCTAGAGCAGTGGAGACGCGTTCTCTGGAGTGACGAATCGCGCTTCTCCATCTGGCAATCTGATGGACGGGTCTGGGTTTGGCGGTTGCCAGGAGAACGGTACTTGTCTGACTGCATTGTGCCAAGTGTAAAGTTTGGTGGAGGGGGGATTATGGTGTGAGGTTGTTTTTCAGGAGCTGGGCTTGGCCCCTTAGTTCCAGTGAAAGGAACTCTGAATGCTTCAGCATACCAAGACATTTTGGACAATTCCATGCTCCCAACTTTGTGGGAACAGTTTGGAGCTGGCCCCTTCCTCTTCCAACATGACTGTGCACCAGTGCACAAAGCAAGGTCCATAAAGACATGGATGACAGAGTCTGGTGTGGATGAACTTGACTGGCCTGCACAGAGTCCTGACCTCAACCCGATAGAACACCTTTGGGATGAATTAGAGCGGAGACTGAGAGCCAGGCCTTCTCGTCCAACATCAGTGTGCGACCTCACAAATGCGCTTCTGGAAGAATGGTCAAAAATTCCCATAAACACACTCCTAAACCTTGTGGACAGCCTTCCCAGAAGAGTTGAAGCTGTTCTAGCTGCAAAGGGTGGACCGACGTCATATTGAACCCTATGGATTAGGAACGGGATGTCACTTAAGCTCATATGTGAGTCAAGGCAGGTGAGCAAATACTTTTGGCAATATAGTGTATGTTCTGTTGGCAGCTGGTAAGTTTCTCAGTAATGAGGCCCTGAGCTGCAGACCGTGACCGGTTCACTAGTTCAGTCGGGTCAAAAAAAATGTATTTTCTCCGCTTTACTCCCTGGAGCCCTCCATGACTGAATCCTAGCATCTCGCATTGTCTTTAAGTGAGCAACTAAAAGAGTTTTGCTGATCCGTGAGCAACTCCAACCAAAACGCACGCCTTTGACCCGACAGCAGTGAAGAGTTCCATAATGGCTTTCTATGGGATATTTATAGGTACTTACTAACAGCAATGTGGCTTCAGGACTGATTTCCCTCTATAGTTTTCTTCTGTTTTTGTTATTGTTGATGCAATTATTTCAGACCATAAATATGCATCTGATGTGAATATCTATGTATGTCTGAGGGGAAATAAGGTGCCCATCTCTAATAAAATAATGACATAGAAGAACGTTTTGTAAGATATTGACATTTATAAATGTTTTAAAGATGGAGATACTTCCAGCTTTGATCCCTATAATAGTGGCCACTGTGGCTTAGAGTTGATTTTCTGTATAACAGGTTAAGGCTGTTAAACAGTCCATCTCTGCAGCTACGCTTAATCAACTCTGTGGATTATGTCAGGATGCAGTAAAAAATTTATATTTTTTAACGGGCATTTATTTTATTGCTATTTTTTTTGTATTTTTATTTATTTTACCTGTTTTATTGTTTTTTTGTTCAGCACTTTGTAACGGTTTTATCTGTATAAGGTTGTTAAAGCAGCAACCTGTGAATGCCTTCTGAACCGTGTTACTCCCTTAAATCGTAGCCAACACTATAAAGTTAGAGAGAGCACCTATGTTCTCAAATTTTTTTTTTTTTTCTTTTTTGTTAATTCTGAGAAATGTAAACCAGAGAAGAAGCCATTTCTCAGCTTTACGACAAAGCTACAAGGATCCAGCAACACCTGAGCTCTGCTGTTCCCATTGGTGCAGAATCATTTTATGTTGACGTTGACATGGTAACTAGAAGCAGTGGTGGTCAAAAGTACACACATTTGTTACTTAAGTAGAAGTATAGATACTGCATATAAAAAAAAAACACTGGTAAAAGTTGAAGTATCAACTTGACGTTTTTACTCAAGTAAAAATGAAAAAGTATGTCCTCCGAAAAACTACTTAAAAGTATAAAGTAAACTTTAAAAAAACAGCCAGATGCCACTACATGAATTGCAAGCCCAATTTTTTGACTATTTTGAAAAATTCTTTGAGATTGGTCTCCGTCTCCCGATACGCTCTCGCCGGTTTCCGACCTTTCAGACATTTCAACATCTTTTTCTGAATCCGACATTGTAGCATGGCATAGACAATTCATGTTTACAGTTTGAAGAACACCTGATTGCTTCTGATGATTTCCTTTAGCTAACCAATGAGTGTTTGCGTTATATGACTCATCCAATTACACTAGATTTCACTAGATGTGGATGGCACCAATGATCTGCATTGGATGGAGCACATGTCGTGAAATAAATATTTATAATCATTAAACCGAAGCTTGTTTTAAAAATGTAAGGAATAGAAAGTACAGATACTTGTGTGAAAATGTGAGTAGAAGTCAGAAGTAGGAAGAAAAATAAGCAATGGAGTAAAGTATAGATACCTAAAAAGTGTACTTAAGTACAGTAACAAAGTATTTGTACTTTGTTACTTGACACCTCTGACCAGAAGTAAATATTTACATAACTTGGACCCGTCAAATATAATACATTTTCTTTTCAATAACATTAATACTTTTATCTTGCTCTCTTCTAAATGTTCTGCGGATGTTTTAGTTGTAAAAAATTTAAAGTTTTATAGTTCGGACCTTTAAATATGAAGGAGTTGTAAGATGTGCTTTAGGTCTGTCAGCAGGAAAAACTAACGCCCCCATTTTCTTTCTCACTAGGATCTAATTACTGCTGCTTGGATCTGAGCCTTTAATTAATGCGAAACAGGAAACGCAGCAAAAATGGAAACTAATTGAGGAGAATTTGTAATTCAAAGTGTGTTGTTTTAAAGATGAGAGCAGATCAAATACAGCCCACACGTTTAAGAGACTGGCTCCCATGGGTGGGTGGGGGGGAGGTCTTCAGCTGTGCGCTTCGATTGTCTGTAGTGGGTCCACAAAGGGGCCACGGCCTCCATTTCAAGCTGCAGCATCAAAATGAAGCTTTATATAGAGCAGAATAATGATGTGGGTTCATGCTGTGAGAAATAGTCCTTTAATAAGGGAGGTCTGGAGGAGATGAGTGCTGCCCAGAGTCTGCATTAATGCAGCGAGCAGGAATCATTTAGAGACGAATCACTCAGACTCCAACTCCATCGATTTCACTGCAACACACAATCACAGCTGTTAACGCCATTCTTTCACCTCCAGGACCAAAATGCTTTCTAAACCGCCGAAGGAGACCAACCTTCATGCAGGCCTGACGTTAAGAAAGGCAGTAAAATAAATGTATGGTCATCGGGGTCATAAATCAAACCAACAGCTGAAACATGTTTATTATATTTATCTCAGGTGATGCCCAGTCTGCAGGCGCTGGGCTTCTGTTAAATTAAGTTCTATGGACAGATTAAGGTTGTTGAGTGAAGATCATTATAGAACTCAGATCAATGAAAGTAGAGGAGCTGCTCCCATCTGCAACCACAGTGGAAATACTTTCACAAAGTGTTAAAAAAACAGAAGGTTTCTCCTCTTTCCCTTTGGATCAGTACTTTGCACATTTACTTCAACCTGCAGAAGAATCTGGATCATCTAGGTTTGGTAGATCTATGATGGTGGCAATATGGAGGAGGCTGGTGACAGACAGACCTGTCAGGTTGCAGGTTTAAGCTGCTTTTATAAAGTGAACATCGCTCCATGTGCTGCATGTAAATCCCATCAACCAGGAAAGGCGAGAATAAAAGAAAACAGAACCCTGGGAACGGACCTTTAGGAGAACCAGAGCCGACGTTCCTAAGCAGCAGGTTTCCAAGTTAGGCCGAGAGGAGAACCCAGAGAACCTTTGATGTTTGGGTTTGCATCAGTTTATGCCCTAATGCTGATGGTCACACCTACAACTTTTTCATCACAATAAGTGCATTCACAATAACTGTAGTGGTTTTCTGTTTTATACATTTTGAAAGTCCAAAATATATATTTACTTCCGGTTGCTATGCCGACATCCAAAGGATTTTGCTCCAATAGGAAGAGAAGAATAAAATCATGTGAGACGTTTCTGTCGCTCTGAGCTCGAGAGCCTTTAGGATTGTTTCTGCTCCTGGATTCATATTTGAGGTCCGATCTTAAAAAAGAACAGCGATGGAGAGAAGAATCAGAAAAACTCTGCAACTTTGATCCATATCCTCTCCTTAATTGTTCCTCAGTGCGGAAAAAAACGAAGATTAACATTTTAATTTTTTGTTGTTGTTGTGGGGTGGTGGCGGCTTCGTATTTAGGGCATACAGAGCTTGGAATCCTAAGGTTGTGAGTTTGAAACCCACAGACAGCCACTCTGGATCCCTGAGCGAAGACTGCTCAATGCTCCCCAAAGGGATGGGTTAAATGCAGTTAATTAAATTGTGCTGTACTTGTGAGTGTAATGACGGCAAAAGTTATTAGAAAAATTATTGAAAAAAAGTCAAAACTCCAAAGGCAACATTCATGAAAAATTAAAAGATGAAAAAATCCTTGTGCAAAAAGAGCAACATTTACTGTTTTTTTTGGGAGCAGTGATGGCTTTAAACTTTTTTCTTTGGGTCAAAGTTAATTTAAATGTTCTCAAGAACCAAAGCATAAAATAACAAGAATTATACAAGTTTTTGTATTTCTTTGCCCGCTCAACTTAAATGAACATGCAGTATTTCAATTACAAAACTTTCTGTAGTGGACGTACATTTTGATCTAAAACAAAAATGTTTTTGCACTTTCAACTGTATGTAAACTTTAACTCATTTAATAAGATTTTCTGCTATAAGAAAAGCAGATTTTGGTCAAAGTTATTAGATGTGGTCCAGTTTACAATTAAATCAAAGACAAAAAATTATCTTTGTTTTGCATCTAAATGTTTTGGTTGCAGGAAGATTCGAACTTCTAATAAAATAAAATGATGGGAGGAAGGATCTGTGATAAGGCTGCTCTATGTTCACCTCTGCCCTCAGGACTAATTAAGCTGAAATTAAAACGCCAACACAGTTAAATGCATTTGATCAAAATATTTTCTTTATTCTGCAACAGAATCGAACATGGTGGAGTTCCACTGATTCATGACTTCAGCTCAAACAAACAAATTCAGAATTTACAACCAATGAACTTCAGCAACCGATACGAGAACATAAAGTGTAGCGTGAAGGAGCGAAACTGGAGAGAATATCGAGAAAAGCTTGAAGCAGATGAGGGAGAACGAGACGCCCAGAAAGAGCAGTTCAGCTGGACACGAGGCTTTGGACAATCGGAACGTTAAAAATAAAAACTAAGGGTGGAAGAAACTCGTCTTTCAGGGCGTCCCGTTGTTTTAAGCATCAAACTGACAGAAAAAAATAAGACAAGAAGTTTGAGCTGCAAGAAGTGAGGTTAGATTTTCTCATGATTCAATTCAGATCTGAAAACACCATAAACAGACAAAGAACAGCTGTTTTCCAAAGACATCTTTTTAACAGTTTTCATTTATTACACAAAAAAAACAACAGTCAAGTACCAAATATGCATGCTGGATCTGTAAAAGGGGAGAACGGGACGGGTGCCATATACAGTCTTTAAAAATCTTTTTTTCTTTTGATATTTATTTATTTATATATAAGAAGCCGTTCCTCATCGAAGCTGTGCTGGGTGACGTAGTTTACAAACGCAGTGGTAAGAACACAACACGACTCCTCTGGGAGAATCAGACTTATTCAAACCTTCACTGCAAATAAAACTTTGCAGAGCTGCTCGACGGTGAGGAGTAACGACAGACAGTCGCTGTCTTTAACAGTCCTGGGATGGTTGTGAGTAGAAACGCTCAGGCGCCGACCTAAGTCTGGGTCCCGGAGATAAATCCAGGAAAGAGTCGAGTTTTCCCAAAAGAGGAAACCTCAACTAAACAGTCGGTGGAAAGTAAACTTGATCAAACGGATTGTTTTGGTACGTTTTGCTAACTTTTGCTTCGCTTTTACTTGAGAGCCATGAGGGAAGTTCCACCTGCAGGGGGAACCCGGTGCATGAAACAAAAAAAAGGTGCTTCTGTCACATGAAAGCGGCGACAAGGAGGAGGAATATTGCAAAGAGAGAAAAAAATAAAAATCATCCAACAGAAACCTCAGTCTTATAAAAATCCAACTAATGGGGAAATACTTTTCTTCCATTTTTATCTCTTTTATCAACTCTACATCTAATTTGACTAAATAAATATATAACTTATTCGTCTACGTAAAGACATTCTGTTTTCCTACTTTATGATGAATTTCATTCGTTTTATTTATGAGGTTTATTTTAAATTCATCAGCAGGTAAAACTGTTTATCAGACTGTTGAGGAAACTTGTAAAAACAAACTTAATCCATAAATATTATAATAGTGACAGGGCTTCCATTAAAAAAAATAAATAAAAGAATCAACCATTAGATAGGAAGAAATTGTCTCAATATAACATTTTTATATTAAAAACAAGTGCTCTGGTTCATTACAATAAACAAAAAAAGACTAATTTCGCTCTAAACTGATTATCGACATCCTGAAACTAAACCCTGAATTTTGGAAACTGAGGCAGAGATTTCTGCAGGACGATTTTCTGAAAAGAAAAACTCGGCCCAGACTCCTGCTGCGGTCATCATGTGCAAATAGAGAGAATTGCATGAGTAGGAGAGCTGTGACGCTGCCGGTTCTGCTCGTTTTCTCCTGAAATCCCCGACAGAAGACAGATTTTCATCACAGCACATAGACTAGAGGTGTCCAGATGGAGTAAAGTCTGACCTCTTAACCTCTGGAATGTAGGATTTTACAGACGGAACCAAACATCATTTCCCAGCAGTTTCTGTCTGTTAAAGCAAAGAAAAATCCTCTAATAAAGGAAAAGATTCAAACTAAAATCTTTGGTTTAAATGTTTCAGGGACAAAAAACGAGCTGTCAAACTGTTCCTCCTTTTAGCTTCATATAAACTGTAAATATAGATCTATATCTGTACGATAAGACATCTCCATGTAAGCAGACATCACAGGTAAATGTGTGCAACTTCATGCGAGCCCTGCATGAAGGGAAAACCCATCGGACCTCTGAGAGCGGCGGTCCTGCCTGGAACCAATACTGTACATCATCTGGGATAAAACTCTGCTCGGCATAAACGGAGGGAACTCTTCTTCCTCTAAACTTTAATAAATTCTCATAGAAAGACATTCAACGGCGGCCGACCGACACTTCAAGTAGTACGAGTTTGGGGAGGTCCCCATGCAAACAGCTAGAAAGGGTCAGAACCCTGCGGTGCTGGAGGAAGGAGAGACCAAATAAACGAGGAGAAAAGTGATCCAAAAGAACCCTGATTTGTTCTGGATTTTCCCGAACCGCTGGCTTCATTCCGGAGTCCGGACGGTAAACCTGAAAACACCTGAGGGATAAAAACCGGAAAATTCCCCGTCTGCTCGGCCCGGTTCCCCAATAGCACCTGCAGAGGTTACCGGGCGGTCAGAGACGACTCAGACTGGTCCGAACTCGCCTTTGTACATTCGAGAACACGTTCTGGTTCTGCCGCTGTCCGGGATGAGAAAACAGAGCGGATAGAGACAGGAAGGAGGAACCGGACCGGTTCCAGTACTTTGTGCTGTTTGTTCTGCAGAAATAAAAGAGGCAGAGTCTGTGGTACCGCTGGAGGTCCGCCTCATCCGGTCCCATGGAACCGTTTTGTTGTCGGAGAAACTCAGAAACTCAAACATCCAAAGTTTGGAGGATTTCAGGAAGTCTGACATGAAAACAGCATCATTCAGTCTGAGCGGCACAGAACCGGTTCCGGTTCAGCTCCTCTTCCGTGAACTCCCCCGCTCAACAGCTTCCAATCTGGATTTTCTTCCAACTGATCCGGTCAGACACACATTCACACCAATCTCTGGCTAACTGTCCGTTAGCATGGTTAGCAGAGGGAAGGCGGCGCCTTTGTCTGGGTCAGAACTGGGTCCATCTGGGACAACAGGCCAAACCTTCACAGGAAGGAAACTCTCCACTTACATTTCTTCCACCACTTCTGAAAGCCAATGATCTGCTGGACGGGTTCAGTCCAAACGGACCGTTTTATGCTAGAGCCTGTTTAACTCCTCGCCTTTGGTTGTTTTAAAACATTTAGCGGTTTTCCTTCCAATGGGACTAAAGCTGCAGCTAATTTATGATGGTTAAAACCAAACATTCATCGAAGTAAGAATCTTTGGAACCTCAGATATGATCTGAACTTCAAAAAGATTTTTTTTTTCTAATTACCCCTATTGTTCCTGAACAGCAGACAGTTTTAACTTTGACTTAATGATCTTAGTATTGACTCAGTTCTGCTGCAGTTTTTAGTTAAACCACCAGATGTCAGTAAAGATTTGAACCCGTCTCATCTGCTGGAGCTTTTTTAAAGCAGTCTAGAAATTGGGTCAAACGGTACCTTTAAGATCAGCTCTGGTTCTGGTCTAAAAATCTGTAAATTTAGGTGTTAGACGGCTGGGCGTCTCTATTGGGCTTTTAGCAGGTGGATCTGAAGTAACTGATGCTCAGAATCAGAACCAGTTTTAACTGGTTTCTGGATTCCTCTAATCTAAAGCATCTGATTTGGTTTGAAGAGCTCGTTCCTGGAGGGTGAGGCCTAATAAAGCCCTGAAGCTGGCTCCTCCTCTCCCAAACATGGGCCATCCTTTGGTCTCTGGTTCTGGTCGCTGCCGTTTTACTCACCAGAAAACAAAAAAACAAAAAAGAAAAACAGCAGCCTGTTTTGCTACATTTGTCCTCTGACCGACGGAGGAGGAACCGAACCGTGAGCCGTTCTGTGGGGAAGGAGCAGGATGGCGGGTAGCAGCTGGGTCGACCTGAAGCTCCTTCTTCGTTTCCGTCCTTCAGTCGCTCCTCAACTTCACATTCACAAACATTTAAACCTCCTTGTGCAAATCAAGCAGTTGTTTTGAAGAATGCCCTCTGAAGAAGTTCTTGTAAAAATAGTTTTGCTGATGCAGTCGAGGCGGCGGGTGTTCCGTCCGTTCTCTGTGAGGCTCCGCCCTCCTGGGGTTCATCTGCAGATGGAGGGCGTGTGTGCGTAAACGGGGTGGGTGAGGCGCACGTTGAGCGAGTCGTTGTGCTGCACCAGGGAGGTGTGGCGGTAGTGGAGGACCAGTTCTTTCAGGCTGCCGTAGAGGTTGAAGGGCTCGGCGAAGCCGAAGCCCCGCGGCGTGCTGTGGATCACGCAGTGTTTCACCTCGCCGTCCACCCTGAGGAGAACAAGCACAGGTTCAGTCTGAAGGTTCGATCTATGACTGGACATGTTCAACAAAACCTGCAGCTGGTTCTAGTGCAGAACCCCAAACAGAGCCCATCTCTAACAGGTTCTGGTTTTTTAGGATCAAACTTTACAGAAAACAGGTCCAGCTGAGCGGTTCTGTCTGGTTCAGACGTAATTCACTGGCTGGCTGGACTTTGGTTCTGCTGCCATTTTCCAGGTATGCGTTACCTGCAGTTATTTTAACATTCTGTTCATAGTAGGTCCATCTGGCCCGGTTCTGTTCTATTATATTCTATAGTAGGTCCATCTGGCCCGGTTCTGTTCTTTTATATTCTATAGTAGGTCCATCTGGCCCGGTTCTGTTCTATTATATTCTATAGAAGGTCCATCTGGCCCGGTTCTGTTCTATTATATTCTATAGTAGGTCCATCTGGCCCGGTTCTGTTCTATTATATTCTATAGAAGGTCCATCTGGCCCGGTTCTGTTCTATTATATTCTATAGTAGGCCCATCTGGCCCGGTTCTGTTCTATTATATTCTATAGTAGGTCCATTTGGCCCGGTTCTTATCTATTATATTCTATAGTAGGTCCATCTGGCCCGGTTCTGTTCTATTATATTCTATAGTAGGTCCATCTGGCCCGGTTCTGTTCTATTATATTCTATAGTAGGTCCATTTGGCCCGGTTCTGTTCTATTATATTCTATAGTAGGTCCATCTGGCCCGGTTCTGTTCTTTTATATTCTATAGTAGGTCCATCTGGCCCGGTTCTGTTCTATTATATTCTATAGTAGGCCCATCTGGCCCGGTTCTGTTCTGGCATCAAGTTTCAGCCTCGCTCTGCTCTGCAGCAGCAAACCGTCAGACCTTTAGGTTCTATACGGTTCTGACACTGATGATCAGTTTACTTCTTTGATCCAATATTAATATCGAAAATTCAAAGTGTATCCGTGACTATGGGCCAGATCCATGGGGCAGATCTATTCTGTCTATTTCTATAATTGATCCAAGTCTGGCTACAAATGTCTGGAGCAGTTTGTCCTTTTATGGGTGTCTGTCTCTGACTGAACTGACAGCTGATCTTTATCCTGGCCTCCGTTTATTTAGGACCTTCTAACCTGATCGCTGAGGAAGGCTTTCTAAAAATATCCAGTGAAAAAATGAATATTGGAAAAGATCAGCCTGAATCTAAAGTCTGTGATCTAAACCAGCTGAATAATATTCTGCTTCTGTGACCCACTGGTTAATTAGAAACTGGTTGTTCCTGATCCTTGTTCTCCGTTTGGGTGATTTCACTTGACCACACGTTGATTCCACGCAAAAAAACAAAAGGATGAATGATTCATTATATCATATGAGGTAAATATTGGTATCAGTAAGGATAACAATGGATCCGGACCTCTCTAATGCTGGTGTCAAAGCTAACGGATCTCTGGTACTGCAGGAGTATCAGGATCTGCAGATACTCAAATTCAAAACTGTGAATCGGTTCATTCCTGATCACAACAGTACACCCGTCCTCAGAGAGGAGTGAGGGTTAAATTAAATGGGATCTGGTTCTCTACAGACACTGCAGAAGAACTGTTCTACTGAAAATGGATCACTGTTGCTACACACTGTATTATTGGCATCTTTAGAGCTACATATCAGCCGCTCCAATCATTGAAGAATTGACTGATGCACTCGTCCGCTACACAGGAGAAAGGCTGAAGATTAAAGGGATAGTTCGGTATTTTTGACATGAATCTGTATGGCATCCCGATCACCAGCGGCATGCAATCACACTGACTTACCCCTGGCAGCGTCCTGTGAGCAGAGTTATCGTCCAGTTTTGGTCAAGCCGAAAGTAGTCCTGCAGGTTTTTAGGTACAGCGAAATAAAACTTTTCTCTTCCCAAAACATTATGTGTCCAAAAGAGTGATATTTTCGCATCCCAAAAACATTGTAGTGGAAAAAGTCACACGTCGTTATCAATTGGTCCTATTTTCTCTCTGTTCGTATCAGTGCGCGCCGTCATTCAGACAGCGAGCCCAACAACAGCCATGTCTCCTTCCGCGGCGGAGGGAGACATGGCTGTTGTTGGGCTCGCTGTCTGAATGACGGCGCGCACTGATACGAACAGAGAGAAAATAGGACCAATTGATAACGACGTGTGACTTTTTCCACTACAATGTTTTTGGGATGCGAAAATATCACTCTTTTGGACACATAATGTTTTGGGAAGAGAAAAGTTTTATTTCGCTGTTCCTAAAAACCTGCAGGACTACTTTCGGCTTGACCAAAACTGGACGATAACTCTGCTCACAGGACGCTGCCAGGGGTAAGTCAGTGTGATTGCATGCCGCTTGTGATCGGGATGCCATACAGATTCATGTCAAAAATACCGAACTATCCCTTTAAATATCGGAGAATCTGATGGTTTCTAAGTTTCAGGGAAAGATAACTGAACTGCGATCTGAAATGCTGCAGAGGACAAGAGGGAGAAAATGATGCAGCGTCTAAGAAAGTCAGAGAAAAAAAGAAATCTCTAATCGTTCAGTTGAGCTTTAAAATAACGGCCAAGCTTCCAACGTCACGCATCTCTAGAACTTTTCTTCACTCTAACAGATTTCAGACCGAGGTTCAGGGGAGCAGAGCTCATGGTTCTGGGGTTCCGCAGGACTACAGCGGTACTCACACCACAGAGCAGGCGTAGCAGCCCTTCTTGCTGCTCTCCCGGATCAAAAACGCTCCGTCTGGCTTCCCGACCAGCAGCTCCTCCGCCTGTGTCCGGTTCAGATCGCCCACGAACCAGCTCTTCTCATCGTGGTGGGGCAGGTTCTCATCCTCATCAGCCATGAAGTAGCTTCTGTTTGCACAGAAACCCACGGTGAGAACGGCCCAGCGGGACGTGAAACACATGTGAAGCAGACAAGAGAGACTCACTGATCAGGGTTGTCGTTCTTTATTCCCAGCCAGTCGTTGATTCGTTTCTGCCGGACTCCTTTCTGATTCAGCCAGCTAGAGAGAAGAAGAGAAAACTCTGATTATCAAGACAGAACAGGTCCACTCACACAAACCGTCCTGCTAGGCTATTTGAACGGGATATTTTACTGTGTTCAAGCAGAACCGCCTCATCCACCTGCTTTCTATGATCTAACAGAAGCAAACCTACAGAACCGTGAAAACACCAACAGTAGAATCAACAAATGGACTGCGTTATAAGGAGCCATTCAGCAGACTTTCACATCCACCGCATGCCTCGTCCAGATAGAAGCCTATTCACTTCCTGGTCCCCCCCCTCTGCACATGCTCAGTATCGTAGCTCCTTTGTTGTTATAAATACAAACGGAGGCTTCATTTACTGACTGAGCAAAAATCATTACAGCCCAGCAGGACGCAACAACCGTTCAGACACCGCTCCATCAGAACGGAAGACGTTCTCCTGAGTGCTCTTCAATCCACACTGAGTGAGGAGAACCTCCCCCATCCCGGTCCATGGACTTACACTAGGTACTGGTCCCGGATCTTGCGGAGCTGTAAGAGGTCGGGCTTCAGGCTGTTCATCTTCTTGTCCGTCTCCCGGTTGTCCGTGGCCTGCGTCTTCAGGTCCTGCTCCAGCCGCACCTTGCTGTCGTGGATCTCTCCCAGACGGGATTTGAGCTTCTCGAAGTTCACCAGGATCCGCTCCATCTCCGTGTCGTTGGCCTCGCGGCAGAGGCGCTCGCTGCAGTCCTTGCTGTAGCGCTCCTGTGTGTGACACTGCTCCTCGAAGATCTTGATGGTCTCGTTGAAGGCCTCAATGGCTGTGCGCTTCATCTGGATCTCCTAGGTGCAGGAGGAAGAGGAGGTAGAGTTTGAGTGGCCGATAGAAGGTTAGCTGCTGGCAGGGTTCTGCTTGGAGCAGGTTTACCTGCGAGGTCTTGGTGTACTCCTCATACAGCAGGTCGTACTCTTTGCTCTTCTCCTGGTACTGACTGTGGTATTCCTGCAGCTTTTTCCCCACAGCATCGATGTTGTCCTCCTTCACCAGCTGGTCCTGAAAGACAGACCAGAAAATCTGAGGATGGAGGGATTAATGGAGAGGCCCCGCCCCCGATGAATGCTACGCCCACCGAATCTGGGCAATGAGAGGAACCAACACTGTCAAGAGTTTGCCTGGAATAAAAACTAAATCCAGACTCTTTAAGCCCGTTAACATCTGAACCAATCGAAAAGTAGTTTCTAATTTTGGATTTGAAGCCTTTTAGGATTGATTAAAATCAACCTGTTCAGAGTAGAAATGTAGAAAACAAACATCAAATAGAGTTATTTCCATTATGCAGAATTGAAAGTAATTGAAATAAGTGATTAATCATAGTTTCCTCCCATAACAGGAAACTGATCAATAAAACATGCAGATAAAGCTCCTTGGATCAATAGAAGGAAGATATTTTTAACTGAATTTAAATGACTGGTTTACAAAAAAAAGTGACAGTTCTGAAAACTAGTTTCAAATCTAACCAGCTGACCTGATCAGATATTGAAAAACTGATTTGATATCAGCCAAAAAAAGAATATCTATCAGCCATCTTCTACAGTCTGATATCAGAAAGCTCATCTTAGAGGACACCCTTCTGCTCTGATGCATCTTTAAACGCCCTGATCTGCCTACGAGGAGCTCCTCTCTGGGTTTGTTTCCATCTATAGACGATCACCCACCTGCTGGAAGCGGGACACCGGGTACAGGAGCTTGACGTCCAGCTTGGTGTTGTACTGGGCCAGAGACTGGTGCCTGTAGTGGCTGATGAGCTCCACCACAGAGCTGAAGGTGAGCGGCTCAGAGAAGCCGTACTTCCCGTCTCTGTGGTAGATCTTGATCAGCTTGTTGTTCCCTCCTTTCCTGAACACAGAAACACAAGGTGAGGACGGAGCTGCTGCGCGGTCTGAGTGTCCTGCTGTCATGGGTCTGGACCGGCCTGTTTACCTCAGGGTCAGCGTGTAGTCGCCCTGCATCTTGGTGGAGGCGTCCCGAACCAGAAAGGTCCCGTCAGGCATGTCTCTGAGCTTTTCGTTCACCTCCTCCCTGAAAACAAAAACAAACAGCAGCTTCAGTCACCAGAACCAACCACCCAACATAACCCCAACCAAACATTCTCACTTCCTGCTGAACTTATTGTGCATCACACAGAGCAGTTCTGAATCAAACCCATCTGACCCCACCCCCTTGTGGTGGAGCGCCCAATCACAGGGAGCTCCTCACCAGGAAGTTCATCATCAGTTAATTCTTGAAGGAAAGTTTATGTTAGAACTTCAGTCAGTGGGAAAACAAATGCAGATGAATGAAGAAAAAACAAAGTATTTCAGCTGATTATTAAATAAAATTGTTTATTACATCAGAAGATCAATAAAGGTTGTTATTATTAGGAGGTTATTTTAACAGGTCAGTTATATTCTTTGTTTCTTTCCTCCTGAACTTAATCATTTTCTCTAATAATTCAGATTTTCCTTTCCTACAACTTTCTCCCAGTCTCCAATTCCTCCTGGTACTAGCTGGTTCTGTTTGTCTGTAGAGACCTGGTAAGCATACCTGGATATGTCGCCCCAGTACCACTCCGCCTCCTGCAGTGGACCGGCCACCCCGCCGTCATCGGCTTCACCTCCTCCTTCCTCCCCGGCTGAAGAAGACTGCTGAGACTTGGCTGGCTTTGGAGGAAGAGCTGCAGGAGAGAGGATGAGGACGGACATGAGGAACGTGGACCCAGAACAGTTTGACACACAGGGTTCTGATCCAGAAATAAAACCTATTTAATTCAGAACCTCTAGAACCTGCACCAGTGTCTGGGTTCTTAGAGTGGTTCTGTAATACTGCAGTAAAGGAGTCTGTGACGGTTGTGATTCAACACACTGGTACTGATCCAGTTCACTCTGTGGCTCTGACTGGAACCAGTACTACTCGCTATCTCAGACATTCAGGTCCAAATCCGGTCCGGTTGGAGCAGAATTTGAACTCCACCTGAAGCCAGAAAAGGCTACAGTCGGGCTCTGATCAGCAGAACAACAGTCAAAAGGAGGAAGGGGCCGGATCACCGCTGTACCTCTGCAGATGGGAGGAGAAATGGGGGAGACGGTTCTGTCGACACCCTGAGTTCATCAGTGAACTCACTCAGAAACAGAACCGAACAGCAGAACCGGTAGGAGAATCTGGTGGGAACATAGACTTCAGCCAGAGGTTCTGCTGGACCGGACCGCTTGCCTTTAATGAAGCTCTACCCCAGTTCCGGTTCTGTACCATACTCTGCTGATGGAGGCCAAACACCAGAATCAGTCTATTTTTCTTGGAGCGTTTCTGGTACCACTGGTCCAGTGTGCTCTAGAACCTTCTACCAGAAACTGTTCAAACATCCACAGCCCAGCCGAGGAAGGCTAGACCCTCATCTTCATCAACACAGTGATCCAACAGGTTGATGTTCTGGTTGGACCTGGACCCAAACTTAGACTCATCCTGATCAGCAGTCAGAACTGAGAGAAGGAGCTTCTCTACAGCATGATGATGCTGATGATGCTTCGTTGAACCATCAAATTATTTTTTTTCCTCCTTTCAGCTTCATGCAGAAAGAAAAATCCTTCCCATCTCCTCCTCCTGTCCGGTTTGCCTGATTCTGTATAAATATTCTCCATCTTCAGATTCCAGCTAATAAAAAACATCAGACTCTACAGATTTGGGTCCAAAAGACCAAACAAAAAACCAAAACATCTGACAAAGTTAAAACCAAATAAATGAAACCAGCACAAAAGAGCGTTTGGACCAAACTCAGGTTCTGCATGTGAACTTCAGAACAAAGGAGCCGTGGTAGAACCAGGTGCAGCTCCTTGGCGGGTCACTCATCCCGTCACAGAGAGACAAGCGCTCCGACCTCTGATTGGCTGCAGCATCTGGAACATCGTGTCTCTGCCTCAGACAATAGTTCATAGCATAACCTGCAGAGTCTCTCAGGTCCATCAGCTTATTGTGAGGATGAGTACGGTCAGTCTTCTTCCTCAAGTGTCCGTCTACTTCAGGTCCAAACACCTAACAGGCAGAACCTCACAGCTCAGGTTTTGAGACATCTACATGTTTAGAAGTTTTCCTGCTGCAGCAAAGTTCTAGAAAGTGGCATGAAATGAATCTGATGAATGTTTGAGGGAAGAAGAAAATCACTGATGAAGATGAGGTCTGCCCCCGAAGCAGAGAAACATAAAGGAGACAAAGGCAGTACAGCTGAAGTGGACTTGGAGTGACAGAGGGTCCAAACAAAGCCCGGACTGTGGCGCTGTAAATCATTCAGAACTGCTGCGCAGCGCTGAACAAAGGGGGCCGTCAGCGCAGCACCCCCCCTCCTCAGCAGACAAAGGAGCAGCGCTGACACACGCAGCCCAGAGTCACTGGGACGGAGAAACGGCGCTGGAAGGAACAATCACCGCTCAGAACCCACCAGAACCACTCCAGCACAAGTTTAGCAGGGGGGTCAGGACAGAACCGGATCACAATCATCTTCACTTATCAGCATCATCAGATCAACAGAGGAGAAACTTCACAGCAAAACCAGCTCTGCATTAACGGAACAAAAACCACAGGATTTCTGCACCAACCGGGCGACAGGACTTTCCAGCTGGGTCGCAGTTTTTTAGGGCTAGAGTTGGTTCTGACTCCCCAGAATTTAGACCCGTCTGCAGGTTTAATGGGACAGAAACAGAAACCAGCCCAGAAAGTTTCAGAGAAGCTGAGCAGTCTGGATCATTTAGAACCGGTTCCTCTGGTTAACCAAAAGTTGGGCCCAAACTGGAGAAATAAAACGGACTGGGATTCCTACCGTCCTCCATGGTTTCCTCGATAAGCTGCATGCTGCCCATCAGATCTCAGCTGCTCCCTCCACCTCCTCCTCCTCCTCCTGACTGAAGCACAGAGCCACAAGGCTGAGAATGAAAACGGGCCGACTTAACAGGCCAGCCCACTCAGCCAATCAGGGGGAAGCCTGTCAGGAGGGGGCGGCGCTCTGATGGCTACAGAAAGGAGGGGAGTGTGGAGCTTAAATGAACAACGGATCCAAAAAACCCACCAAAGGCTACAAGTGGGAACTGAAGGAACCGGACTCTGATGAGGCCCCTTATCACCTTCATGTACCGACTTCGACCCGCCTCCTCAGGTCCGCTCAGATCTTCCTCTCTGCAGCTTCACTGGCGTCTCCAGTGTGAATCTGAACCTTTACTGGTTTTAAAAAAAATATTTGGACCTAAATGTGCTTTAATTGCGGAGCCATTGTCAACAGTTCAGTGAAGTTGGCTCATTTTTGCAGGTTTTGTTGCTTCTGGATGATTTTGTGTTTAAACTTTACAAGTTTGATAAGAAAGGCTGCAGCTGCATCTGTTATGCAACAAAGTGCTGCAGCCTGAAAAGTGTTGTCCTATACCCCCCCCGGTGATTTTCCATTGTAGGACGACTAGTTGCTCACAAAGACGCAGGCTGTCGTCTACCCTGGGGTTGGGGGGGGGGGTTGATTGGACTCACAGCTCTCAGAGGTCTGCAGCCTGTCAGCATCTCCATCTGACTTTCAGTCCTCGCTCTCTCAGTCCCTCCCCCTGGTGGGGGCGTGCAGCCAAACAAAGACACAGAGAGGCAGCAGGACGAGCCAATTCAAACACACAGATGAGCCGCGTGAGGAATGATTAAGGTGAGCCTTATTTTCACCTTTGCAGACCCAGAACAAAAACATCTCTGCCTTCAAAAGGTCGGTACCTCTCTCAAGGCAACAAACCACAAAAAGCTGCATAACTCAAAGAAGCGACGAACACAATGACATTAATGAGCAAACGGCTCCAGACGCTGTCAAATCAAACAACCAGAACCAAGGAGGAAGAACCATGAACCCCCCAACCTGAGCTCAGACCGAAGATCCTAAACACATGAAACAACCCAAGCAGCAGAATGGGACCAGAAAACACAGCCAATGCACCCACCCACTTGCTGACACAAACTTCCCCTCCAGTGCTGCATATGCATCTCAGGGATCCAGAGAAATATCAAATCACATTGATCTGCCTGAAAACATGCCTCTGCCCCAGAAGAGACGCTACAGAGAGGCAGCGGCCCGTATCTGCACCACCATCAATTCAGCAGGACAGAGGAAGAGGGGGGGCTGGGACGACAGCAGCACAATGCCTGGAGGACGAATGAATGGAGAACAGGAGAAATCAGGCTCCCCTCCGGCTGACAGTGGGAGAAACGGTGCCGCAGACGCCTGTTAGACAAAGATGTTAGGATGGGGAATTTTATTCCAGGTTTCTGCATTGTTTCCCCGGTGCATCCCACTTCCCATCCCCCTTTCAAAGGCAATTTCAGAAAGATCCAGAAAAGAAACTAGCAACCTTATTAAAAACCCTGCTTGTAGGAAAGTTTAAAACTGCAGGTTTGTTTTATTCTTCTTCACCAATGATGCTGTTTTCCCTGGATGTCAGCAACCAAGTTTTCACATCATCTGAATATTGATGACAATAATCAGCTGGATGAAGAGGCAGACTCTTCCTCACAAAGCAGGTTTAAACATGGAACCAGATCTACACATCTAAGTTTACCTGCAGATCACAGGTAAACATCCAATCCTCTGGTTCAGGAGTTAAAAGCTTTTCCATGATCAGTAAAAATTATTTTTTTCCATCTGAGAAACTACTGACAGTAAAAATTATGATTTCAATGCATTTTGGCTGCATCAGATTCATACAATAAAGCCTAAAATAAACCAATAAAATAAAAAGCCATTAAAAGACACAGCCAAACTCTGTCTTTTAATGACTCAGATATAACCAGTTTAAAAAATAAATTTAAACATCAGAAAGAATGGAGGGAAATCTTTTTTTAACACCTGGGGCAGTTTCAACTAAATATTTTTAGGGGAATAAAGAATCCAACATAATTTCTGCTCTTATTTTTCACATAGTGAAGGCTTTATGGGTGACAAACTCGGTAAAGGTAAATAATCCCTGGTGTGTTTTGGTTGATGCAATCCAATCTGAGGATCAGATCATCAAATAAAACTGAATTAATTTATTAATATTTCTTTAAAAGAGAATAGCCCTTTAATAAAGCTCCTTCCAATCACTCCGTCGGGTGGCTGCCTACCTGGAGGCTGGTCCATCTCCAGGTAGAAGATGAGCTCAGTGGAGTAGGGCATCATCACGTCCCGCCAGCCTCCTTCCTTTCCAGCTTTCTCTGCCGTCCAAACCGTGTTGTACATCGCTTTCAACGGTCAAGCGCGCCTCGAATAAACGACAAAAACCGACGTGTATAATTTAAAAACACCTATAAGACGTATAATTTAATGTTTCTATAAACTCCGTCTGAATTCCTGCTTCAGAGTAAAATAAATAGATAAAAAGCGGACAGCGAGCTCCGGGCTTGCGGCTGTTTCTTCAGACATGCTAACAGCGGAGGGCTTTTCATGAAGGCCCGCTATGCCCGAACAAACGCCCCGTTCAGAAAAAAAAAAGGAGACACTCGTTCAAACTGGGAGGCTAGCGCCGCTTCTTTCAGCGGTCTCCTTTCCTTCTCCTCCAGACGAGCCTCCGACTGCCCGGCTCCATTTTTAAAACAAGCACTGAGCAATGGAAGGTGGTGGAGGTAGATACCGGCCGGACCGAACCACTCTGCCGAGGCTCACGGGGGTCAGGTGGATTATTTTAAAAC